ATTGTTCCGCCAGCTGTAAATTCCGACCAACTGGAATCGCAGCCTGCGCCAGTTGTCTGTTGTTCTTGGACCAACAGGCAAGCTTCATCTCCAGATTCTCAGCCCCTTGCTGACACTGACTGGGACCTGTCGGGTGGAACAGTGTCTGTTTCGGAGAGGGCCAAAGATGTCAATTTGTCCTGGGGAAAGTTGGAGGTGATCGGATGGTGACATGTGCAGATTTGGCCATCATAGCTGATTAGGGCTTGACATATCTCTACTGTTATTCCATGGGCACTCCTCCTAATGGCTGGATACTAGGTTAAGGAGAAAAACCCTCCCATTCTTGGGACAAGAGCATACGGATGATTTATTACCCACTTAGAATGTTAGTCCTCTCAGATGAATAACATACACTCTAAAATTCTATCTCCCCTCCCCCCATACACACACACAGCAGCTACTCAGCAAAGGCTAAGACTTTGGTTTCTTCATGCCCAGAGGGTGCTGAACTTTTCTCTTTACTCCTCAGCCTTTCTCTCTGCCAGCCTTTAATAACAACAACCATTGCTTTAGAATGCCTAGGGGCTGGGCATCATGCCACATGTCTTAAATCCATCGTCATATTTAGATGACACAAAAGCTCAAAGGACAGATTATGATCCCCACTTTCAGATGAAAAGACTGAGGCACAGAAAGGCTAAGGAAGCTTTTGGAATCCTGCATTGTAGATGTACAAGAGTAGAATTGAAATCCTACCCTAGCAACTCTCGACTGAGAGAGGGTGTACTGATCTGTAAGAAGGCAGATGCTGCATACTTGAAAAGGCCCCTGGAGAGTTGTGAGTGCTTACAGTGTGAGGAGGACTAGAGAGGAGGGGATATTTTATGTCTACTGACTTGTTATTATCTGAGAGGGGATGAATGGGAAGGGGAACACTGTGAATCAGAAAACCTTGTCAAATACCCCGGTCTGGAGCTGGGGAGATGGCTCAGTGGATAAAAATGCCTGCCACATAAGCATGGATTCCCAACACCCACATAAAAGCTGGGTCTGATGTATCTGTAATCCCAGAGTCGGTGACAGGCAGACAGACAAGCAGATTCACAGCTCACTAGCCAAAGAGCTTTAGCCAGCCAGGGAGCTCTGGGCTCAGTGAGAGATCATGTCTCAAAGCATAAGGTAGAAAGCCAGGAAGAGAGCCAACGTCAACCTTCAGCCTGCAGACACACACACACTCACACACATATGCACCTACATGAATATATACATACATAAATACAACATACACACAAAGAGAAAGAAACTTGGCTTATTGCCCTGCATAAGATCAAATGTTAATTTGACTTATAATTATATGTGAGTCTGAGATTTGAAGCAATAAGGAATTAATTTCAAAAACTGCTTTAGAAGGGTTTTTAAGAGCAGTTTTTCAACAAACAAAACTAAAACACTTAATTTCATTTCCATGGAATTTTTAGAGCAGAGATGCCTTAAGTGGCCTGGAGCCACCCTTTGGAAAGAAACAGACCAAAAAAGTTAAGGAATCTTATATATGCCATATAGCCTAAGCAGAGTTATCATTGAGGCACGGCCTTGAGGTTCTCTGAGCGTGACCACATCATTACTCATGCCAGCCGCTGGCACAGTTGTCGGAATAGGGCAGAGATTGCAGAAAGAGCATTTACAAATGAGAAAAGGGAGACTGGCGCTCTCTGCCCCGGCTGTCTTGAAAACTACTTGCTTTGTGGTGGTGCTGATTGTATTGACTAGATAAGGAAATAAGTAGAACAAGTGATTTCCCACAAGGTCACATGGCAGGGACAAAAATCCAATATACTGAATCCTAATTCCATGTCTTGATCTAGTTACATCATCCTCTGGGTGAGCCTGGCCAACTGTGAAGTGGGTACTTGGACATCAGAATACACAGGGCATGGTGCCTGACTTAAGTGATATCAAATTTTTAATTAAGGATATGGGAAAGATGGAGATGGCAAAGACTTCCTATTATCTAGATGCCAGGACCACTTGGTGTCTGGTCCAGTTTTCCCGGGACATCTGCTCCACCTCACCAATTCCTCTGCGCTTTTATGGCATACACAGTTCACACTGCAAAGTCAACAAATTGTTATCATATGTGTGGTTAGTCATTCTTTTGCTGTCTCCCCTCTATGTTTGATCTGGCTTATGCTACTGCATTTTTTTGGCTGCCTACTCTCCCCCTGCCTCTGTCAATCAAGTTTTGCTTAGTAAACATTCCAAAGTCCTTGATCACTAGCATCCACTTGGGTGCTGTATCTGTTGTTCTGGATTATCTGTACCATGTACATACATATGTGTATATATGTATATGTATACATACACACACACATACACATATATATGAGAGAAGATGTGGAGGCTTATAAACATAATTATTGGCAAGAAGAACATATGTGTATGTGTGCATATATGTGTGTGTGTGTATACATATACATATAGATATGCACAATATAGGTTGGTTCAACTAGCCCTCATATTCTCTGGGGATTCTGATTTACACTCAACTCTCTATAATCTTTGCTAATGTAGATTAAGATAAATGTGGACACACAGCAGATATATTTTTTAAAACCAAAGCTAGTTTGCCCCATCTTAACTGCATTTTTAAAGAGTTTCCACAGTTTTATAACCCTAACTATCAGCACACTCGAGTCAGAGCATCTTCCAGCATCTCTTATGCCAAATCTCAAGCAACCTGCTCTACTTTGGCCTGAGACAATCACCAATCCAATTTCTGTCACTAGATTAGATTTGTCTTTTCTAGAGTTTCATCTAAGTGGGATCATAGAGTATATATGTACTCACTGGAGTTATTTTTATTTGACTTTGGACTTGCTTCTCTGGTTTCCTTCTCGTGATGTCTGGTTTAGACTGATATTAAAATGAGTTCATGTTCCTTACACCCATGCAGATTTGACGGGGTGGGTAGAACCAAGCCTTGAAAAAAAAACCTGAGAAACAAGATAAGGAGGCTTATGAACATAATTATTGGCAAGAAGAAGAATGTTGGCTCTTCCTAAGATTGTTAGAATGTGACAAAGAATGAGTTCACCTTGTACCCCAAACCTAAATATTTTCAAGATCACTCAATGCATTTTCTCCTGAACCCAAAAGCCTAGAAGTTATGTGTTCTATGCCTTCGATGGACAGTCTATTTGGAAACTCTGGCCTCTAGATAGTCACAGAGTCATTGCTCCCTCTGGTGTGAACAGGGAGATGTGTCGCCCTTTTATTGAAGCAGTCCCACCCCTGCAGCCCTCTGGGTCAGCAAGGAGCCCAGAGCAGGAAGGAAACACCAGGCTTCCCTCTGATCCCCCTTAGGTTCATGGGTCAGAGGCTTAATGTTTGAATAAGTGAACAGAAAGGAAAATTAAAATTCAGATATGAGTGAGGATAGGACCAGGAAAAAGGAAACCTCCAGAAGACAGCCAGCTGGGTGTGAAAGGAGAGGTGCCCATCAGAGGCAGCCGGAAATCCAAACAAAGCACACCGGGTTGAGGGATGTGTACTTCTTCCACTTTTGAGAAATCCTGAAAATAATTCATTTTTCAGTCACAAATACATAGATTCAGACGCTGAGTAGGAGAATTCTTGAGAAGGGAGTTTCAGCACGGGAACCCTGACAAATCCCTAAAACAACCTGCATGCTTCCAAGTGCCGCCGGACCCACTTAAGCCCTTTAAACCTCCAATAACTTCAACTATGGTGTTTAAAGTCTCATAAATCTGCACTAGCTTAAAATAGGGAAATATAAATCACAGTCAGGGCCTTCAGGGTAGGGACAGAAGACAGGCACCCCGTGCCATTTAAAACCACAACGTAGGCTTCTCAACAAAATTTCCCAAGACAGCTAAATGGAAAGTGCTCGAGTTTTCCATTCGTTCTCAATTTGTCCTTTTCCCATTTGTTCGTTTGTTTGTTTCTAGTTTGTTGGGGAGAAAACAAACAAACAATTCAGCCCAGTTTTACACAAAACCAAATGAAGGAACAAAACAAACGCATTACCAAAAGTCATCAGAAAAGAGCACTGGTCTAGGAAGATGCCAGTAAACCCCTGTCTACGTTTTGTTAAATTGTTTGTTAATGTTCCCAAATAAAAAGTTACAGATAAGGACCGCAAGGGGTGCGTTCACTCACTGACACAAGGGGACTGATCTAATGAGAGCTCACCAAGGCCAGCTGGACTGGGACTGAACGAGCATGTGATCAAACCGGATTCTCTGAATGTGGCTGACATGGGGGCTGACTGAGAAGCCACTGACAATGGCACTGGGTCTTGTTTCGTCTGCATGTACTGGCTTTTTGAGATCCTAGTCTGTTTGGATGCCTACCTTCCTAGACCTGGAAGGAGGGGGGAGGAACTTGAACTTCCCACAGGGCAGGAAACCCTGACTGCTCTTAGGACTGGAGAGGGAGGAGGAGAGGGAGTGGGGGGAATGGGAGGGTATTGGGAGGAGGGGAAGAAGTGGAAATTTTTATAAATAAATAAATAAGTAAATTTAAAAGAAGTTACAGATAACATTCTGCTAGCTACAGCCACATGGGACTGTCATTCCTACTCTACACGGGTGTCTTCTGAGCTTCGTTCTCAGCACAACCCAGAAAGAACATCATTTTAGAGATATCTGCTTTAATTTCATGTGTATGAATGTTTTGCGTGCATGTATGTACTTGCCTGGTGCCCGAGGAAGTCAGAAGAGGGTTTTGGACCCCCTAGAACTGGAGCTACAGGTGGTTATAAAATACCATGTGGGTGCTAAGAACCGGATCAGGTTCTGTGCAAAGCTTCAAGTGCTCCTAAGGGCGGAGTCATCTCTCAAATCCTGAGAGATGTTAGTCTTGTCCCTGTCTTACAAGCAAGGGAATGAGGCTTACGTTACTTTACTCAGGGTCGCGCAGTTCACTAAGTATGGGATGAACGTCTGCAGAGTTTCTTCAGAAGCCCTAGCCTCATCCAGGATTCCTACCTTCTGTAGAACAGCAGCTCCGACTCACAGAGCTTCTGGCAGGCCCTGCAGGTTACACTGTGAGGGCTCAGGTGTTTTCATTCTTCTCTTTTCTGACCTGGTCCAATAACTTCTTTAACCTGCCAAGCCGTAGAGAATTCTGCTAATAAGTATTTCCTCAAAGTTCAACCTCCGTAGATAAAATGAGGGCACTGGGGTGTTCGACTTGCTTCATACCCATAAGCCTGCAGCAATGGACCCCTAAGGATCCTATGACCAAATGAAGGCTGAATGAAGAGCCTTTGTCCAAAGTACCTAAGACTAGATATGTTACAGATTTGAGAGATTTTCAAAATCTTGGAGTATGCATTTAGATTTTTATTGGATCATCCCCCTGCACCTCAACCTTCCACTCCCAAATAACTCACTAAATCTAGAATGTTCCAAAATCACAAAACTTGCTGAGTATCATCTGGTGGGATTTGGGACACTTGAGATTTCAGTTTTTCAGATCAGGAACACTCTCTGTAATGATCTATGAACCTTTCTCCACAGTTGTGGGAAAGCCAATTGGAGACTCTAAAACCCAACAGTGCTGGATCTTACGAAAGCAGCACCTTGTAGATCATGAGGAATAAGAATTCTACTAAAGTCTGGCATCACACAAAGAATTGAGGGGAAAAGATGTTTCAACCTATAGAATGAAGTTCATAATTTGTTTTAAACATTCATAATTGAAAGATGTGCATTTAAAAGGCAGAATATGTCTCTTTATTATCAATTCCCAAACTTATTCAGGTGGGATATTATGGATGTCTTCCCATAAGGTCTATGATTAGAGAGGCTTAGGAAGCACCATAGATGTGACCCCTCTTAGAGAATCACAATGTACTTTGTCCTACAAAGATCTTGAGGAGTCCTACTATAAAACAGTTTCTGTTTAATCTAGAGAGTCTCAAACCTTTGACCACAGAGTTTCTATCAGCATTGCCTGAACACAGTTTGGGGGATGTCACTCGAAGTAAATGATTACGCCCTTGCATGCCTAATCAGCATAGCACCTGGCTCACTCTATGACTATCAACAGTCCTTAATTCAACAATACATACCACAGTGAGGAGACTCCCCAGTACGCATTCACAAGTTTACACAATCCTGGGCTCTACACTGAGCAGGGAACAACCACAAATCTCTGGGCACAGTCCCTACAACCTTGAATGAGAATAGGCAGGAAGGGGAGGAGGTGTGCCTCTCACTTCATGTTTCCCCGCCGGCTGTTTAATGATACTGACTTAATGCTGGAGACTTCCCCTAGTTTGGGGACCTCTAGAAGCTGACCTGGAAACTAAGTCCTGAAAGGAAACGGTCAATGTGGAAAATAATCCAAAGAAATACCAGCAGAGAAAAGTGAGTCAGGGAGGAACAGACAGCCAATAAAAAGTGAATTATTAAGCCAACTTTAGAGTAGACAACTGTAGCTTAATTCTACAGGCAGCTCTGGGGAAAGGTGTAACGCATGCACCTCAGAATTATCCTACCTGAAGGATGAGTTTGTTTCGGGGAGACATCTCCATCATTCATTGTCGAAGGATACTTCTTGGGGAGCTCATTTATCTTGGACATAATAAATCCCATTCCCATGGCTGCAAATATAGACTTCAAAGCATCAAGATGCAGATACAGGAGGAGTTCTGTCCGGAGAGAACCTTCATCTGGCAATGGATGGAGATAGAGACAGAGACACACATTGGAACACTGGACTTGACTCCCTGGGTCCGATGGGAAGCGGATGGAGGGAGACTGCTGGCAAGGAAGGCAGGATCGGAGGGAATCTTCATCAGACAATGGATGGAGATAGAGACGGAGACCCACATTGGAGCACTGGACTGAGCCCCCAAGGTCCAAATGAGGAGCGGAAGGAGGGAGAACAAGAAAGAGTCAGGACTGCAAGGGGTGCGTTCACCCACTGATACAAGGGGACTGGTCTGGTGGGAGCTCACCAGGGCCAGCTGGACTGGGACTGAACGAGCATGTGATCGGGCCGGATTCTCTGAATGTGGCTGACATGGGGGCTGACTGGGAGGCCATTGACAATGGCGCTGGGTCTTGGTCTGCATGTACTGGCTTTCTGGGATCCTGGTCTGATTGGATGCTCACCTTCCTGGACCTGGAGGGAGTGGGGAGGAACTTGGACTTCCCGCGGGGCAGGAGGCCCTGACTGCTCTTGGGACTGGAGAGGGAGGAGGGGAGGAAGTGGGGGGAGTGGGAGGGTATTGCGAGGAGGGGAGGAACTTGGACTTCCCACTGGGCAGGAAGCCCTTACTGCTCTTGGGACTGGAGAAGGAGGAGAAGAGGGAGTGGGGGGAATGGGAGGGTACTGGGAGGAGGGGAGGAAGTGGAAATTTTTTATAAATAAATGAATAAATAAATAATTTTTAAAAAGATGCAGATACAGTCATTGGAAGATACTGGAAAACACTGAAGCAGTAAGATCTGAGGGATATGGGTGTGTCTCAGTGTCTCTCATGTGTTTCCAAAGGGAAAATTCAAGATATAATGAAACGCAGTGTCCTCTGACTGTCCTCCCTGACTGTACCAGGTGGTTTTAAGGTCCACATCATGCTCCATATCATGCTGTATGTGAATGAGCACGAATAACTGAGCCAAGGACACACACGACTGTCTTCTCCTCTTGACTCTTCTGTAGTGGTTAGCCAGCATGCTTTCGAGCTGTGCATCAGTGATACGTCTCATCTCGAAGGGTCATTCACAGTCTCTGTTCGAGAAGGTGCTAGAGAAGACATGCTCTTCTAGAGATGGTCCAGGAGAATCTACGGCAGAGCACAGAGACTGTACTCAAGGTACCTACTTACAACTGCCTTGCCAACTTATACCCCATGATGGTGAACATCCTAATAATAGTTAGAATTACTATCCCTGACCAGATAAAGTAAGTCGGTATCCTCCAAATAAACTACTGCTTTAGCTTAAATCATTGCCTTTCTGAATGTTTGTGAAAACATACAGTAAGACAACACAGGAAGAATGTTGCTAGGTTTTTTTTTAACTCTTTGTTCTTTTGGGGACCCGCCACCCAGTTCCCAAATAAATACATAGAGACTTAGTCTTACTTATGAATGCCCAACCTTAGCTTGGCTTATTTGCAGCAAGCTTTTCTTAACATAAATTATCCTGTCTACCTTTTACCTCTGGGCTTTTATCTTTCTCTATTTCTGTATACATTTTCTTTCTTATTCCATGTCAGACTGGGTGGATGGGTAGCTGGGTTGCTGGCCCCCAGAATCCTCCTCTGCTTTTCCTCTCTTGCTTTTTCCCCCTATTTTCTCCTTCCATTTATTCTTTCTACCTGGCAGCCATGCCATTCCTTTCTCCTGCCTAGTTTTGGTTGTTTATCTTTTTATTAGAACAATCAGGTGTTTTAGGCAGGCAAAATAGCACAGCATCACAGAGTTAAACAAATTCGACATAAATAATGCAATACATCTTCACATCATTAGACAAATATCCCACAGCATAAAAGAATGTAACACATATTAAGCTAATTTCCACAACAGTAATTTTTGCTGTAAGCCAAGGCTGATTGGATAGTTTCAGGTAGTCAATAAAAGTGATGGCTAACTCCACCACCTCTGTTTTTTAGACAGGGTCTTTCTATATAGCCCATGCTTGCCTCAAACTCTTGATTCTCCTGTCTCAGCTTCCCAAGTGCTAGGATTATATACATGCATCACCATCTCTGTTGTAATGGCTGCTCTTGATTGGGAACTTGATTAGATTGGGACACCTAGAAGATTAGTAAAGACCTGTCTGGGTGTGTCTGTAGGGGCATTTCCAGAGATGACTGGTGTATGGGGGTAGCACCTGAGAGAGACACACTCCACATGTAGACAGCACTTTCCAATAAGCTGGGGGCCCTTTTGAAACAAAAACAGAGGAGGATAGAAACACACTTCCTCCTCCTTCCCTCCTCTCCTTCCCCGTCTCTCCCCTTTCCCTCTTCTTGGTAAGCAGCTTTGCTCCACCATGTCCTCTCCAGCAGAACGCTCCTCTCACGGTAAGCCCAAAGCATTAGAGCTAGTACATCATGAGTTGAAAACTCTGAACAGGAGTCAAAATTAATTCTTCCTCTTTTAAGGCTCCCCACCCCCTGCCTATTTCATTACAGCAATGAAAACTGATGAACACAAGCAAATTGAGAAGGAAGCCTCCATCAAAGTAGTAGTGACTCAATGTGCTGTGGTCCGGTGTGAGACTGCTAGCCAGCATCCAGCTTAGTAAGGAACCAGAAGGTATTTGCCTTGTTTCAAGGAAGTGTCCCTTTTAAACCCCATCTCCTCAAAAACGCACTGCTAAGCTTGCCCCTTCTCTGAGTTTTTTTTCAAAGTTTATTAAATTATGAAAGTTTCCATTTCTGCCCCTCCTTCCAACCCCCTCCCACTCCCCCCCTCCTCCTCCCTCTCCATCCCTAAGAGCAGTCAGGGCTTCCAGCCTGTGGGAAGTTCAAGTTCCTCCCCCCTCCCTCCAGGTCCAGGAAGGTGAGTATCCAAACAGACTGGATCCCAAAAATCCAGTATATGCAGAGGAAACAAGTCCCAGTGTTATTGTCAATGGCTTTTCAGAAAGGCTCCGGGCCAGCCACATTCAGAGAATCCGGCCACATTCAGAAAATCTGGTTGGATCACATGCTTGTTCAGTCCCAGTCCAACTGGCCTTGGTGAACTCTCATTAGATCAGTCCCCTTGTATCAGTGGGTGATCGCACCCCTCGCGGTCCTGAGTTTTTTTTCATGTTCTTCCTCCTTCTGCCCCTCATTTGGACCAAGGGGGGCTCAGTCCGGTGTCTCTGAGTTTTTTGATATCAGAAAATATTTACAAGGGGAGCTAAATTGGGAGTAACAATGCCACATGATTGATGCCAAAAAGACCTCAGCTACTTTGCCTTTCCGGTATGCCTAGAGCTTCTCTTTTGTCAGGTTATGGAAAACAAATTCAAGAAGAAAAGCAGCATTAATGGGAGAAACACCAGGAGGTGATTCTTCCTGTAACATGAGGGCCTGCTTGTTGGGGTTTCTGTCCCGCCAGGTCCCCCAAATAGCAAGTCCCAAAGAAAATCACACAGAGATCTCCATAAGTTATAAAACTGATTGGCCCATTAGCTCTGGCTACTTATTAGCTCTTGTAGCTTATAATCCATTATGCTTATCTATGTTAGCCACATGGCTGGGTACCTTTTCTCAGTGGGGCAGCTCACATCTTGTTTCTTTGGTGACCTGGGCAGAACCGAGGAGGGAGCTTCCTGCTTCCCAAAATACTCCTGTTCTCTTTGCTCCACCTCTACTTCCTGTCTGGTTGACCCACCTATACTTCCTACCTGGCCAATCAGCATTTATTTAAAACATGATTGACAGAATACAGACAATTGTCTCGCACCATCTTCCTACCAAATTCGTATCAGATGATAGTCTTTGGCCCTTAATGGAAACCATCTTTGGTATTTATAATTGTCCCTCCTAAGCATTTGAACTCGAAGTATCTATTCTTGTGGCCAAATGCTGCTGAACACAGATTCAAGGGAGGTGTCAAAATACTACCCAGCCTGGCACGTGCCTCTCCTGGCCCCCCCACATGTTTCACAGCAGTACTAGGGACTCAGTGAGAGGGTGACCTTCATATGCTGACTAGCTGATGACCTCCACCTGTTTATATTTTGCCTCTGGGAAAAGAAGAAATCAAGCCATCTTCCCTTCATTCCATACCTCTTACTCTGTACTTCAAAAAGAAGTAACATCCCCTTGACAGAGAGATTTCTTGGGTCGAATGAGCATTGCTTAGTGAAGAGCAGAGTGCCTTTCTTTGCAGCTCTCCTTTCTCTTCCTGCTCTCTGTGCTGATTAAAAAAAAAAGGATATTCAATTCACTGAGTGCTCACCAGTTGAGCAGTAGAGGGAAAGAGGTAAGCCAATGAAGATACTGACCACTCCCTCCTCACCTCCAAATCCCCTCCCCCGTGTCTCATCCCTAACACTGCTACAGACTGCCTGCTGCAGCCTTCCTTCCCCCACCCCCACCCCTCCCACATCTCCTGTGGATCCCACAAATCTTCCCCTCCTAGGCTTCCTCCCCCATACTAGTCACTTTATCTCACCCCCTTTAAGGAAATCCAAAAGAACACAAACAAATGGTAGAAGGAAACAAAGAAAACTGTTCAAGACCTGAAAACTGGAAACACAATCAACAAAGAAAACGCACCTATACTTTTTACCTGGCCAATCAGCATTTATTTAAAACATGATTCACAGAATACAGACAATTGTCTGTAATTCTGGAGATGAAAAGTTTAGGAATTTAAACAGGAAGCACAGAAGAAAGTTTCACCAACAGAATACAAGAAATACAAGACAGAATATCAGGAGTTGAAGATATGATAGAATAAATGGATACATTGATCAAAGAAAATGATATATCTATTTAAAAAAAACCAAAAAAACTCATGACAGAAACTTCCAGGAAATCTGGGACACTATGAAAAAAACCAAACCTAATAACAATAGAAATAAGAGGAAGGAGGAAAATCCAAGCTCAAATGCCTAGAAAATATTTTCAACAAAATAACAGAAAAAAGTTTTCCTAACCTATAGAATTGATGAGATGCCTATAAAGATACGAGAAGCTTACAGAACATCAAACAGACTGGATCAGAATAAAAGTTCCCCTTGACACATAATAATCAAAATACTAAATGTACAGAACACAGAATATTAAAAGCTGCCAGGGGAAAAGACAAAATAGCATATAAAGGTAGACTTATTAGAATTATACCTGACTTCTCAGTGGAGACTCTAGAATCCAGAAGAGCCTGGGTAGAAGTACTGCAGACTTCTAAGAGACCACAGATGCCAGCCCAGGCTACTCTCCCAGAATCAATCACCACAGATAAAGTAAATAAGATATTTCATGATAAAGTCAAATTTAAACATTATCTCACTACAAATCCAGTTCTATAGAAGATGCTAGAAGGCAAACTCCAAACTAAGGAGGTTAACAATACCCATGAAAACACAGGGAATAAATAATATCAGAAAGTAACACACACACATACACGCACGCACATACACAGGCCAACACCACCACCAACAAAATAACAGGAATCAATAATCATTGGTTATTGTTATATCTCAATATTGATGGTCTCAATTCCCCATTTAAAAAAAAATTAGACTAGCATAATGGATGCCAAAACAGGATCCATCCTACTGCTGCATCCAAGAAACAGACCTGAACATCAAGGACAGACATTCCCATTTTAATATCTAACAAAACATAATTCAAACAAAAACTGATCCAAAGAGATAGGGAAGGCTACTACATACTCAACAAAGGAAAAATCCATCAAGATGACATTTCAATTCTTAACATCTACACCCCAAACACAAGAGCACTCAAGAGTGAAAAAAATACTACTACAGCTTAATCACATATTGACCCTCACACACTAATAATGGGAGACTCCAATACCCAACTCTCACCAATGAACAGGTCATCCAGACAAAAGCTAAACAGAGAAATACTGGAGCTAACTGATGTTATAAAGCAAATAGACCTAACAAATCTACAGAACATTTTACCCAAACACGAAAGGACATACCTTTTTCTCTGCACTTCATAGAACTTTCTCCAAAATTGCCCATAAACTCAGACCCAAAGCGAGTTTCAATAGATACAAAAAAATTGAAATAACTCCCTGCATCCTATCAGACCACCATGGATTAAAGTTGGAAATCAACAAAAACAGAAACAACAGAAAGCTTACAAACTCATGGGCACTGAACAACTTCCTACTGAATGAAAAATGGGTAAAGAAAGAAACTAATGACTTTCTAGGATTCAATGAAAATGAATACACAGCACACCCACACTTATGGAACACGGTGAAAGTGGTGCTAAGAGGAAAGTCCATAGCACTAAGTGCCTACAGAAAGAAATTGGAGAGATCTCACACCAGCAACTTAACACCACACCTGAAATCTCTAGAGCAAAAAGAAGTAAGCTCACCCAAGAGAAGTAGATGTTCAGGAAGTAGTCAAGCTGAGGAGGAAATCAGCAAATTAGAAACCAAGAGAACAATCCAAAAAAATAAAAGAAAAAGAGTTGATTCTTTGAGAAAATAAACAAGGTAGACAAACTCTTATCCAAACTATCTAAAATGCAGAGAGAATATCCAAATTAACAAAAATCAAAAATGAAAAGGGCACATAACAACAAACACCAAGGAAATCCAGAGAATCATAAGAAAAAAACTTTAAAAAACCTCTACTCCAGAAAATTGGAAAATCTAAAAAAATGGATAACTTATCAAAGTTAAATCAAGATCAAATAAAAAAATTAAATAGGCCCGTATCCCCTAGTAAAATGGAAGTTGTCATTAAAATTCTTCCAATCAAGAAAAGCCAAGGACCAAAAGGTTTTAGAGCAGAATTCTACTATACTTTCAAAGAAGAATTAATTCCAACACTCCCCAAATTATTCCACAAAATAGAAACAGAAGGAACATTGCCCAATTCATTCTATGGGGCCATAGTTACCATGATACTCAAAACTCACAAAGGCCCAACAAAGAAAGAGAATTACAGACCAAATTTCCTTATAGACATAGATGTAAAAATACTTGCAAACCTCCAGCCTGGTCTACAAAATGAGTTCCAGGACAGTCAGAACACAGTTACACAGAGAATCCCTGTCTCAAAAAAAGCAAAAACAAACAAACAAACAAATCCAATAATACATCAAAAAGATCATCCACCATGATCAAGTAGATTTCATCCCAGAGATGCAGGAATGGTTCACTATATGAAAATCAACAAATATAATCTACCATATAAACAAATTTGAAGACAAAAACACATGATCTTCTCATTTAGATGAAGAAAAAGCCTTTGACAAGATCCAACACCTCTTCATGATAGAACAAAAAAGTCCTGAAGAGATTAGGGATACAAGAAACATAACCAAACATAATAAAGGCGGTCTACAGCAACCATATACACAACATCAAGTTAAATGGAGAGAAGCTCTAAGCAATTCCACTAAAATCTGGGACAAGACAAGGTTGTCCACTCTCTCCATACTTATTCAATATAGTACTGGACGTGTTAGCTAAAGCAATGAGACATCTAAAGGAGATAGTCAAAGGAAGAAGTCAAAGTATCATTATTTGCAGATAATATGATAGTATATGTAAGTGACCCTAAAAATTCCACCAGGGGATTCTTACAACTGATAAACATTCTCTGCAAAGTAGTTGAATACAAAATTAACTCACAAAAATCCTATATACAAATGACAACTGGACTGAAGAAAAAATTAGGGAAACAACACTTTTCACAATAGCCTCAAATAATGTAAAATATCTTGGGACAATTCTAACTAATCAAGTGAGACTTGCATAATAAAAACTTTAAGTCGTTGAGGAAAAAAATTGGAGGAGATATCAGAAGATGGAAAAAATCTTCCATGTTCATGAAGCAGTAGAATTAACATTTAAAAAATGACCAGCCTACCAAAAGTGATCTACATATTCAATGCAATTCCAACATCAAAATTCCAACACAATTCTTCACAGACCTTGAAAGAATGATTCTCAACTTCACATGGGAATAAAAACAGAGTAGCTAAAACAATCCTGAGCAATAAAAGAACTGCTGGAGGTCTCATTCCTGATTTCAAATTGTACTACAGAGCTATAGTAATAAAAACTACACAGTACTGGCATAAAAAAAGACACTTTCATCAATGGACCCAAATTGAAGACTTAGACATAAATTCATACACCTATGGACACCTGATTATTTATTTATAAAGTCAGAAATACACACTAGGAAAAAAAGACAGCATCTTCAACAAATAGTGCTGGTCATACTAGATCTCTGCATGTAGAAGACAGATCCATACTTAGCATCTCCACAAAATTCAAGTCCAGTGGATCAAAGACCTCAACATAACACCATATATACTGACTCTTCCAGAGAAGAAAGTGTCAATACTGTGAATGTATTGGCACAGAAGACTTTCTGAACACCGAACAAAAGGCACTAAGATCAGCAATAAATAAATGATTCCTCATGAACCTGAAAAGCTTCTGTAAGGCAAAGAACACCATCTAAAGGGGAAAGTGGCAGCCTATAGTATGGAAAAAGATTTTTACCAATTCCACATCCAATAGAAGACTAATCTCCAAAATACATAAAGAACTCAAGAAACTAGAAGTCAAAAGCCCAAATAATACAATTTAAAAATGGGGTGCATGTAAAAATGGAGGGCTCTCAATAGAAGAAACTCAAATGACTGAGAAACATTTTTAAAAATGTTCAACATCATTAACCATTAGGGAAATGCAAATCAAAACTATTTTGAGATTCCATCTTGGACCTGTCAGAATGGCTGACATAAAAAACAAAAGTGATTGCTCATGCTGTTGAGGATGTGTAATGAGGAGAACACTCATACATTGCTGGTGAGAGTGAAAACCTGTACAGTCACTGTGGGAATCATTGTGGCATTTCCTCATAAAACTGGGAATCGATCACCCTCAAGATCCAGCTTTACCACTGCTGTGGGACAATGGTCTTTTATCCTGTCACTTGTATTATTTTTAATAAAACACTGACTGACCAGTAGCCAGGCAGGAAGTATAGGCGGAGCAACCAGGCAAGAAGTATAGGCGGGGCAATGAGAACAGGAGAATTCTGAGAAGAGGAAAAGTAAGTCTGCAGCCATCACCCAGAGACAGAGGAAGCCAGACACAGAGCAATCAAGATGTGACTGCCTTGCTGAAAAGGTACAAAGCCATGTGGCT